ATCGTCAAACGTTGACTCTGGTTGTTACGCGTTGACCGGCGTTGACCCTTAGGGTTTCGAATCGTCAAACGTTGACTTTTGCCGCAACGCGTCGACTGGCGTTGACCCAGGGTTACGCGTTGACCGGCGTTGGCCCTAGGGTTTTGAATCGTCGAATGTTGACTTTTGTCGCAACGCGTTGACTGGCGTTGACCCAGGGTTACGCGTTGACCGGCGTTGACCCTTAGGGTTTCGAATCGTCAAACGTTGACTTTTGTCGCAACGCGTCGACTGGCGTTGACCCAGGGTTACGCGTTGACCGGCGTTGGCCCTAGGGTTTTGAATCGTCGAATGTTGACTTTTGTCGCAACGCGTTGACTGGCGTTGACCCAGGGTTACGCGTTGACCGGCGTTGACCCTTAGGGTTTCGAATCGTCGAATGTTGACTTTTGCCGCAACGCGTTGACTGGCGTTGACCTAGGGTTACGCGTTGACCGGCGTTGACCCTTAGGGTTTCGAATCGTCAAACGTTGACTTTTGTTGCAACGCATCGACTGGCGTTGACCCAGGGTTACGCGTTGACCGGCGTTGCCCCTAGGGTTTTGAATCGTCGAATGTTGACTTTTGTCGCAACGCGTTGACTGGCGTTGACCTAGGGTTACGCGTTGACCGGCGTTGACCCTTAGGGTTTCGAATCGTCGAATGTTGACTTTTGTCGCAACGCGTTGACTGGCGCTGACCTAGGGTTACGCGTTGTAGGTTTTTGAATCGTCGAACGTTGATTGGTGTGGATTTTCATCCTCGAACGTTGACTCTTATTGCAACACATTGACTGGTGTTGACCTAGGGTTGCGCGTTGACCGGCGTTGACCCTTAGGGTTTCGTGTATCGAATGTTGATTGGTGTTGATTTTCATCAAAACATCCAATAATCGACGAAAATGGGTGTATCCGGGTCCAAAACAGGCATATAGGGACAAAACAGGACCTAAAACACCCGGGGGTGTCTCGCCCTTGGCCGAGACACCCCCTCTCCCATCTCTTTTGTCTTTTTCTCCTTTTGCTTGTTTAGCTTTTCCTTGTTTTGTTTTCATTACCCCTTTTGTTTTTCCCCCTTCTTTTCAAATTTTCAAAGAGAACTCCCTCCTATTTAGCTCCCAAAAACCGAACTCCCCCCCCTCTTATTCGGTTTTGAAAGTTCTTCTTCTTCCCCAAGCTCCCTCCATTTGAAGAACATCATTCCTCAAGGCAAGGTTGGATTTTGGCGGGTACCCATTTGCCGAAATCTCCTTCAGACACCCTAGGGTGTCTCGGTTGTGGGGCCGAGACACCCCCTCTCCCATCTCTTTTGTCTTTTTCTCCTTTTGCTTGTTTAGCTTTTCCTTGTTTTGTTTTCATTACCCCTTTTGTTTTTCCCCCTTCTTTTCAAATTTTCAAAGAGAACTCCCTCCTATTTAGCTCCCAAAAACCGAACTCCCCCCCCCTTTTATTCGGTTTTGAAAGTTCTTCTTCTTCCCCAAGCTCCCTCCATTTGAAGAACATCATTCCTCAAGGCAAGGTTGGATTTTGGCGGGTACCCATTTGCCGAAATCTCCTTCTCTCTTAAACTTAGGTTTCAAATTCCATTTCCAAGCCCGAAGAAGCTTCTTTGATTTGGGTAAAATCCTCCCCTCAATCCTCTTATTTTGCTTTAAAGATTGCATCTTTATGCTTGGTAGATAGGAGTTTATGTATGAAAATATGCTCTTGGGGGTTTTGTGCAAGAGAGGTGAAATGGCCGAATTTTTGGGGGGCTTATTTGCAAAAGGGGACTGAAATTTCGTGGGGGTTTATTTGCAAAAGTGGAACTGAAATTTCGGGTATTGGGTTTATGTCCACTTGATGAAGGGATGTGGGGGTGCTTTATGCAATAGGATCAAGGAGTTACTTGAGGTGTTTATTTGCAAAACAGCCCCTAAATGTTTTTAGAGGGGTTTATCTGCAAAAGGGCCACGAATTTGGGGCTGACATCCAATGAGTTTTGACCACGAACTCGTGATCAAAATTTTGATAAGGCATGTGGAGTCAAAACCAAGATTTTGTAGAAGGGGCTTTTATGCAAAATTGGCTAAATTCTGCAAAAGGGTTTTATTTGCAAACTTTAACCAATTGTGGGGGACCGGGGGGTGCTATGTGATCAGACATGATGACCATGACCCAGCCCGGGTGTGTCCTTGACCTGAATTTTGGCTTTGAACACGAAGGGTATTTTGGGTATTTCGCCAAAATTCACCGCGAAAACGATCATTGTTTTGACCCGGCGGCGACGCTCAGCGGCGGCGATCTCGGGAGCTGGAGAGGAGGAGGGGAGGTGATGGCTAGGGCAAGGGGACGGCGGCGACGCTTTTAGGGGACGTCGAGGGCTTGGCCGAGCTTGGGCGGCGGCGCTTTCGGGCGGGGGTGAGGAGGAGGGGTCGGTGATGGCGCGATCTGAGCGGGAAAGAAGAGAGAAGGGTAGGGATTTTGGGGGATGGGATTTTCAACGAAGGGCTCAGATCTCTTTATTGGGTTTATAATAAACCGCCCAGATCCCGCATCCTCAGATGACAGCCTACGGAGTCACCGCAGATTCACTTTCTCCATATATATATTGAATAAGACATTTTGCCCTATTTTTGTCTCAAATAATAATAATAATAATAATAATTACTTATATTTCAAGTTTTATTGGTGTGGGCAAATGAAACGTTGAGGCCTGGAAGTCATTATTCTCAATTTGCTAGCTGCAATGTCTCTTAACATTTTTGACATGGAAACTAGAAAGAACTATAAATAGCAGAGAAATCAATGCTTTATTGGAACATAGGCACTGAAACTCTTCCAAGAAATTTACAAAAAGATATTTATTAAGGAAACAGTGCAGCAACCAAACAACTTCCCAAACAACTTACCATCTGGAAAACTTTAAAACATAAGTTTTGTTGCAATTTCAAGGAGTCTTAAACTAGGAACATACAACTAAGGAGAATTCCAATTCCAAGAGCTAAACATAAGTTGTATTGCCGTTCCAACTGTTCTTAGGCAAATATATAAATTGTTCTTCATCCTGTATATCCTCCAGGACCACCATAACGAAATCGGTAACCATCTGGATATCCGGTTTCCATATTTTCATCGATGTTATAATAACTAGGGGCATCAGCGCCCAGCTCGACATTGATTTTATCTGCGCTATAGTACTTATTATTTTTATCTACTAACTCAACATTCAGAAAATAGCATGTCTTGTTTAAACCTTCGAAAGGTAGATGACCGCTCCCCATAGGAGGACTAGGCTCATTCAAGGGAGAGTAAACTGCACCTCCCCAATCAACCTCAGTAGCTTTCTCCATTTTATTGAAATTTTCCTTTGGCCAATATCCCACAAAATCATCTCCAAATGCCAACCACCAATTTCCAGTTTCCTGATCCTACAATTTAAAGAAGAACAAGTAAGAGTTATTTACAGATGCACTTCATATAATGTAAGTGAGTATGGCTACTTTATTACACTTCAACAAGTAAGAGTTATTTACAGATGCACTTCATATAATGTAAGTGAGTATGGCTACTTTATTACACTTCACTTCTATATTATTAACATATGGATCTCTAACCACGTTGTCATTTATCTATTAACTTTTAAATAAAAGTGAGGATCTTGTTGAAATCTTATCAGCAATGTTTAATTGTAAATATCACACAAATTCCTTGAGCTGTAAAAGCTTAACTAATAAAATAACGCTTTCATCGAAGGACAAAAAAGTACATGTATTAGTAAAATATGAAACAGAGGATAACTGACTACATCACAAAAGTTAATAGGGTCATTAAGAAATCAGGAAAAATAAAGTAAAGGTGGCTATCAGACTTCATACTAGAGATAAATTTGTGGACAACTCCCTTGCATAGAAATAAATTTCAAAAGAAAGTTGAATGCTTGATGTAAGTCTACAGAAAACGGAGTTAAACCCAATTCTGATTTACCTTGAAGATAGTTATGTCAATTAACTCTTGAATTCCACCATAGGTAGAAAGGGGAAATATTTCAATCCCAGGAGAAGCTGATCTAGATACCACAACAAATCCTTGACACTCGAGATTGTAGCAAGCTTTTTTATAACCATCAGCCTGCATGCACGACACTAATCATTTTATGTTATATAGAATCTTAATCCTCCTGCTTGTTGAAAACTACAAGTAAACGAGAGAAATAAGTATCTCCTATTATAAAGTTTTTAAACTAGACATGCACTCGGATCATACCGTCCAATACGTAAATAGTTGTGTTAAAGAGTCACCATTTAGACTGGGAAACACCTGAAATGAGGGGGAGAGAGTTTTAGTGGAAATTCAAGTGAGCTTCATTTTCTTGGCAAAAAAAATCTTAATTAAGTTTAATAGTAACTTCACTTACATCCCATCCTGCTTGTACCACATTTACTTCGTCCTCGGGTCCCTCTGCACCTCCAATGACCCATATTTCACTCATTGTCAACTGATTAAGCGTAATATTTGGAAAACCATAAACAACAAGCGCAGCATGCGACCCATAATATTCTCCAAGAACCGATTTCATCACTGCAAACTGTTTAACAAATGAAACAAAACAATCTCTCTTAGAGCAAGAAGGGATAAGCAGAGGATCCGTATCCATACCAAAGTTGATAAATTTACTTATTGACGTGACTCGCTTTGGGCTTTATTGTTTTCTCAATAGTTCTCTATTAGGGCGGAGATTACTTGAGCACTATTGTGTTTTGGATTTTGATATTGATATTTTGTCTGTGACTTTATCCACTGAAATTATTTTCCTCTTCAGTTAACTTTTGTAAATTAAACTTACTAATGTTGACTTGTTAGGTTTATAATACACGTTCCTGATGACATAAAAGGAGCATCATAGCTCTTTTAGCCAAAAAAAAGTGAGAGTTAAATGAAGCGCATATTCGACAACATATGATGTAAAAATTAGGTAAGGACAAACAAATATCACAAATCAAATGTATCCATAGTATCTGTTGTTAAATTATCAAACAAAATTTAGGAGAACATAATATTCTTCCCTTTCTTTTAAATCTTTGGTTTCTTTTATATTTTTATGTACTAAAGCTCTCTCTCAATCTTTTGCATCTTGGCTAGCCCAGTGGTTGCAAAAAATTAATGCAGTTATTTTCATGTACATTTAGGGGCTGTTTGGTTCGTTTCCTTGATATAAGGAAATGCAATTCCATGTAAAGAAATACAAGTTTTTAGTTTTCCAAACTTTTTTAAGAAATAGATTGTTTTGCTTTGGTTCGCACATAAAAAATGGTGAGAAACCAATGTATTTATTTTTCTTGTGTTTGGTTAGCATAGAAAAAAAAAGAAAAACTTTTGTAAACAAAGCAAAGAAGGAAAAAAATCTGACATAGCAGAGTTTTCATCAATTTCACTCGGTTGGGGAAGGAAATCGGAGAGGGAAAAAAATCTGAGCTAGCGGCGATTTCAGCAGAGTTTTTCCTCTTTCATCCGAGCGAACCAAAGCGGCACAAAGAAATGGATAGAAACAAAAAAACTGACGTGGAGGACTAAAAAACTGACGTGGAGGGGTTTTCTGAGTTTCCCCCCTTATAATAGCAAACCAAAGAGCCCCTTAGATAGAAAGGGTGAAATGAAAAGGTTTACTTACATGGCTCCCATTAAGACTAGCAATCTTCGATTGGAAACTATTGTGTCCTTTGATATGATTCTGAAGAGTTTTGGCATGTATCAAATCGTTCTTAGTAGTTCTGCGAATTTGAACGGTTCCTAATGGACAACTGATGTTCTTGTAGAAATTGTATTTTGCAGTGGAAGGCTGTAGTTCACGAGTCACGCCTCTTGGAAAACTGCTGGGACTCATCTGCATCAAGCAATCCAATCATCATCTAATAATACTATTTACCTGAGAAACAAGTGTAAGTATTCATTTGTTCAACTTAACACTTTAATTGGGATAATAGTGCATCTCGTATAACTATTTTTAATTAATGCAATAATCATATTGGATTACTTACACTAGCCAGTCTTCTATATCGAAAATATTCATTGATCATGTTGATCAAGTAATATGTATGTGTATATGTATATACGTACGTAGGCACCAAGACACACATTTGAGCTCTCTTTGGCTTCATTAAAAGGGTCCCAAACGTGCAGGGTAAGGTTATTTGGCTCAAAAATAATGTCTGAGAGAGATGGAAGCACGCAATGTCTCAAAACATATCATATAGACATCACCATCTAATTAATCGTTTGTTTGCTTCCTTACTTGAAAAGAAGAGAAGAGGAGAAGTTTTTTTTTTTTTGCAGTTATAATGGATATCCTTGGTTGAATGATATTGAAATCCACAAAAATGGGGGGTTATTTAAACCCAAAGCTTTAGAATACACTGATCCATCCATCAGAATTTAATTCATTCAGGGTATAGGGGTTAAGTTAATCTCTATATGGGGATTTACTTTGTCTTTGTTTAAAACTCAGGCCGGATATTGAAAAATGGATAAAAAGGACTGATCCGGACTATTTTAAATAATATCCGATTATTGAAAAAAAAAACATGCTTATCCTAAGGGCTTTGTGGGAAACAATATTGTTGGATGTTATGTCTAAAAACATATCATATAGACATCACCATCTAATTAATCGTTTGTTTGCTTCCTTACTTGAAAAGAAGATAAGAGAAGAGAAGAGAAGAGTTTTTTTTGTGAGTGTTTCGTGAGTGTGTGTGGTGGTGGTGGTGGTTTTGGGTTGGCTTCCTTTTTTTTTTGTGCGCGTTTGCTTTTGTGTGTGTGTGTCTAATTAATGAAATAAAAACCGGAGTTAAATTTCTTTCCATGTTTTTACTAATCTTTTTTTTATCTTTTAGCTAAAAAGCCAATTCGTCACCTTTCTGCAATGACTTCTAATCGTGCATGTTGTAATCTAATAATCAAGTCTGAAAAGTTTGACCTTCTCTTGCGTAAGGAAAATGAGCCCATAGGATAAGTTTATGAAAAGAAATCTTTTAGTCTTTATATATAAGGTAACTATTAATTTACTTTCTTTTCTTTTTAATTATATGAACAAGTAAATCTAACTTAGAATCTTTTTGCACTAGTATTATAATATGTATAAAAAAAGGGAATAATGTTTCTTGTTATGACAGAAGTGTCAATATGTAATATTGTCATTTTAATATATTTTGGTATAAGCAGGTCGGATATAAAAATGCTTGCATTAATTATATCTTACTGCTTTTGGCCATACAAAATATAGTACAAATGCAACCAAGGAATTATATTAAAAAAAACAAAAATCCCTTTGTACCTGAAGTTTGTGATCTTTCAGAAGAGGATTGTCAAAAGCTGGTTGTTTGTAGATATCAATACAGTCATAAAAATGTCCGCTCTGAGACTGCAAAATATAAAAGCCTCCACTGTTAATGTATAAAGTGATCCTAATTACAGAAACTTAAACAAGTTAAAACAAATGTTGATGGCGAATTTTGTTGAAAAGCTATTTATGAGTACATACATACATCATAATCAAATATGTCAGCTATCACCCGGTAAAAACTAATAGAACTAATTATCTATACCATAAAATTAATTTTGGTACTTGATTATATGATTTGCCAACGATCTATATATTCACTACTAGGTCGTAATTAGGATATAAAACTAGATGGATCATGAATGATCTCATTTTTAACACTACAGGCTTATTTTAAGGGGGAAAAAGAGTACCTGAAAGGTTTTCACAGGAGGTTTGTTAAGGATTTTCAGTTGTTTTTCAAATTCCAAGTCTTCTTCCTCCGTGAAACTCCATCGACATTCAACACTTTTAGTAATAAACACAAGTATTAAAAGAAGCGGAGAGAATGCTTTTCTCATAGCCATTGATAATTCAAGCAAAGTTTCACTACGTACAGACCCTTATTATACCACCGCTGGCTCTTATTTTGGTAACAAATATTTGATGAATTCATCTGATTGTATTTTCTAGAATATCCTTATTGCATCAATACTTGTTACTATCTACAGAGAAACGTCAATTAATAATAATTAATAATAATGAATGATATTTGTTACCATCTAGAAATCCCTCGTTTCACTCGACCAGATGAGACCCTTATTATACCACCGCTGGCTCTTATTTTTGTAACAAATATTTGATGAATTCATCTAATTGTATTTTCTAGAATATCATTATTATTGCATCAATACTTGTTACTATCTACAGAGAAACGTCAATTAATAATAATAAATAATAATGTATGTTATTTGTTACCATCTAGAAATCCCTCGTTTCACTCGACCAGGCATAAGTACAAAACAGAACAGCCCAAACGGTTATTGGAACCGTTTGGGCAAGTCAAAATAGCCCAAACGGTTTAAACTGTTTGGGTTAATTATTCCAAACGTTTTAAACTGTTTGGACTAATGAATAAACCCAAACGGAGATCCCAAACGGGTTAAACTGTTTGGAACATATCTGCCCAAACGGTTGAAACCGTTTGGGAGTTATATTAGGGTTAAATTTCATCCCCAAACACTGCACCCTCTCAAATTCCATCCCCAAAAAATTCTGCCCTAAACCGCACCCTCAAATTCCCCTCCGCCAAAAAATTCCCCTCCGCCTCCACCTCATCTTCGCCGGCCAACGCCTGACCTTCGCCTCCGCCTCATCTTTGCCGGCCCTCGCGATCCTCCGCCGCCTCATCTTTGCCGGCGCGCTCGCCTCCTCCTCCACCGCCTCCTCCTCCACCGTGTGCCTCCACTGCCTCCCCCTCAGGTCACTGCTTCTTATCCATCAATGTATATGATAATTATTATTTGAACTTTCTTCTTAGGGTTTACAATTTTCGAAGTCTATCCCTCAATGCAATTTGAATACTTACTCCTAATTTGTTTAGTCCATCCTTTAATAATTTTTGAACGCATCTTCATGGATGGAGCAAAAAATCTACATTGTAGGAGTCGATTGATACGAGGGTCACTGTCACTTTTCAATGGTAGGGTCCCAACCCAACTGAAAAGTCAACTTTAATCACTGAAAGCTTAGGGGGGTTATTCATTGGGGTAATTTTGGGGATAATGGGTAAAATTGTTCCAATGGGGTAATTTTACCCAATGGGATAATTTGGGTGGGATAAAGTGGGATAAAGTGGGGTAATTTTACCCAATGGGATAATTTCATCCAACATTTTATCAATATATTAATCTAATAACACACAAACAACAGAAACAATTTCAGAATCAATTTAACCAAAACCAAAAGCAGGATCAACTCATCTCAACATTTTAATTCTCTCATAAATATCCTACAAACCAACTGAAACAATCGTAATAACACACAAGAAGCCCAGCTCCGACTCCAATTTCAGAATCAAGTTAACCAAAACCAAAATTATCCTTCCCTTTACTCATCAATTGTCCACTGAGAAACCCACTATTTCATTTTACCTTATCTCATTCCACTGAGAAAATAAGCAGCGGGACTATTTTATTTTACTCATCAATTGTCCGCGACGGAGGAGGTGGTGGAGGGGGAGGGGATTACAGAGTAGGCCGCTGGCGGGTTTGCTGCGGTCGGAGGGGACAGAGCAGCAGCCGCCATGGGAGGGGAAGAGCAGCAGCCGCCATGGGATGTTAAAACGTATAAACTTTTCCTTTTCCTCTCTCCCTCTCGTCCATGTTTCCAATTTCAGATTCGAGGTTTACCGCTTGCAGAGCGAGAGAAGGCTTTGGCCTGATCAATGAGCTGAGCGAGCCGTTGGAAAGCATCGACCACGCTCCTCAAAGGCCTGAGCTTGCTTGCCCTTGGGACATCGCCGCGCTGGCGGTGCTGGGGCCGGCGATCGCCTCCTCGGTCTCCATGCGCTCCGATGTCGACTGATAGGGTTCATCTTCTTGCGGCGGCGGTCGGAGAGCTCGAGCGAGATTGCTTCGTTCTATGCGAGTGGCGAGGAGGCCGGAGCTGGGCTGCTGGAATTTCGGGCTTGGGTAAATTCCCTCTTTTGTTTCCAGGAGGGGAGATGTCGGGTAAATTTCGGGCTTGGGGCTGGTGGAATTTTATATAGGTGGTGTAAATTAGGGGAAGTGCGTGTATTTGTCTCCATTACCCCCAACAAACCAATAACACTGATAACTTGAACTCCAGTTCCAATTACCCCAACCAATAACACCAAACATTGATGTTCACAAATTATCCCATTACCCCCAAATTACACCAATGAATAACCCCCCCCCCCCCCCCTTAATTTCCTTTGTATGCCACCTGGTGCGCTCTTCAAAGTCTTGGGACATCCTTCTTTAACAAATCTCGCTGATTATTTTTTTGCAACTCGCATGTAATTAGCTTTCTACTAGGAATTTAGGTGCCTGACCCAATTCTATATAGTCTTAAGAACTAAATTCATATGGGAAATAGCTAAACTTTATGTCGTTCACTCTTGATTTATAACAAATTAATTATTATGATCTGCTCAACTTTATAACTAGTTGCCACTGAATAAATTACAAGAAAATGTTGTTACTATTTTGTTACCTTAAGCATTATGTGATGGTCCCATTTTTGTCTATTAAAGTGTCAACATCTAGCTCACCAGAAATGGCTCAACTTGCTTGTAGGCGTCAAAAATTGCCGATAGGTCCCCGCACGCGGCTCGAGACAGAGAGAAGACGATGAACATCGCTATTCGAGTCACAGAAGCTCATTTGACGATGACGAACGCATGAAGTGAGTCGACGGACCATGCGAAGCAACGTAATTTCGGAACAACAGAAACACGAATGAACCGGGAGCTGTACATCACTTACAAAAGAAGAAGAACCCCTCAGGTCCCGTTTACTCCACATGTGATTCAATCATGGAAGCTCGTAGATCTCCTTGTCGGCTTTCCAACACACTTTGAATCACGCAATTCTGAGTTCGGACAACGAAAATACGACAGAAACGAACAGAAACGAACATAACACACGAAACTACATTCCGGGCCTCGGCCGAGATACCCCTTGGTGTCTCGGCCAGGCCGAGACACCCCAAGGTGTCTCGGCCATGGCCGAGAAACTCACAAGTATCTCGGCCACGCCGAGACACACACGGTTGTTCGCAGCCCAAAAAATACTAATTTGGCGGTTTTAAGCTGTTTTCCGATTGTTAACCGTCTGGATTTGTTTCAATTGTTCTGATATCATCCAAGAACGTGGTTAAGTAGTTACAACTGAAGATAAGATTGAATTGATCATTCTTATCCGAAAATAGGGGTCCATAAGCCTATAAATACAGTCCCAGGGCCTTCATTTTTCCAGATGTGGAATTCTCGAGCGTTGGCGAAGCCCTATTGAATTGGAGACTGAAGAGCCACGAATTTTAGAGAGGAAGAGGAGACTTTAGCGAATTCTTCGGTATAAAGATGGAGAGTTCGATAGATCTGCAGCCCGGTTCTTTTCCTTGAGATTGCCCCGTTGCGGTGATCTCGAGAAGAGTGGTTATCTCGCTGTTGCCAAGATAATCGCTTCGGTTTCTTGATTCCTTCGCGAATCAATGAAGCTCCGTATTTGATCTGATCATTTGACGGTCCACGGATATCAACATCCCCGTCACAGGCCAAGATCCCACGCAAGCAGCAGGCGATAAACACTCGTTGCGCTGTTTGACGAGAGTTGTACTTTTTTTTTGTTTTCATTGTGTAAAGGTCTTATAAAAAGACTAACTTTTGTTTTTATTGTAACGTTTGAAGTTGTAATGAACTCAGCAATGAACAAATTAACTTTCTCGCTAAACAAGTTGGCGACCATAGTGGGAGCCAACAGTCTCGTCAACGAGGCTGTCGTGCCGCAGCCGACGATCAAGATCCTCGTGGCTGAAGAGGTCGAATATGAGTTCGACCAACAGAAGTTCGAGGAGTACGTCTCCTCCTCCTCCTCCTCCAAATCTGCCTCTCCTCGCAAGCGCAGGAAGGTCTCCTCCGCCCGAAAGATCCGCTGGTCTTCAAATCTGAAGACTCAAGAAGGTGATCTCCCTGCTACCGCTGTTGCAGATGCACCTCGTAATGATCCGCAGGCTTCCAATAAAGCCAGATCTGCAGATCTGAACTCCTCGATTAAAGAGTCAATTGTTGAAGGCGTACCAAATTTATCAAAGAGGGCTCGTCAGAGGCGTCGCCAACGTCTCGCCCGCCAATTGGCTAAAACTTTAGATCAAGTGGACGGACTCCATTACCAAGAGGATCTGGAGTTCAAAAAGCGCCAAGTGGCTAAGTCATCTCCATAGAAAGCTTCGTGAACCTCCTCCCAACCCCCTACTAACGAATGAGTTCGTGTCAAACGGAACTGTTCCACTCTTAAGGAGCGCATTCAGAAGCGTCACGCACTTCTTGCGCATGCCCAGATCCTTATGTGAAAAGCATAAGAAATGCAAAAGGAAGAGGCTGTTAAGAGATCGCCGAGATCCAAACAAATTTGGATGCCAAAGGCTAAATCAACGCCTAAGGCAAAAGTAAGCAACGTTGCTCCCCAGCCTTCGTCAACTTCGAATCCTGCTCCTTCTGCCACCAGACCTTTGGTGAAACACTATAGTGACGTGGATCTCTCCAAATTTAGAATCACATTGAAGGGTCGCCTGGGTCCTTTACACGAAGATCAAGGCAAAGCGTCTGTTAAGGAACGCTTGGGACCGTTGAAGGAACCCTGAGCAACCATCCAGACTAGGGGTCGTACGCGACATCCTAACAAGTTGATTCTCGTAACTACCCGCGTGGAGATTCCTGCACAAAACCAGGAGACCGCTAAAATTTCATCCTCACACGGGTGTCATTCCAAACGTGTGACTCCTGCTAAAGCTAATAAAGTGCTACCTATTCAGAAGAAGATGCGTCGAACAGACGACAGCGTTC